CTATTTGAGAATGAGCTGTGCAATTCTGATGGCAACGGGCATAGCTAAATATTGATGTCAGCTTTCGTTGTGCATTTATTTAGAGCGCGCGCACGCACACATATATAGCAATTATGTTCCTGACATTTATAGAGTGGATTTGAGGTAATTAGTGATCAATGGCAGTCATGGGGGTGCCTGTGGAGCAAGTACTTCATATGAATGGGGGTGTTGGAGAAACAAGCTACGCCAGTAACTCTTCAATATCGGTATGCTAGCTCTCTCTTGAGTACTCATATTAGCTTGATCGAATCATGTGTATATTATCTGGTGAGTTAACGTTATGCCTTTTATCTTTATCCTTATCATTTATTTTTCATTGAATGATTGAATCCTTTGGTATATTGAAAATTCAACTGCATCGAGGAAATTTAATTCAACCCATATTCTGGTGCCCAATTAACCTGATTTTAACCCGGTACAACTCAGTTAATCTATGTGCTTGATTCTAGTGTGTTTTTCTCTATAATTTTCTAATGCTCCTTGTAATATCTCAATTTCTCAAATATTTTTTTTATTTTTTTCTTTTGATGATTATATTCTACACAAAATTAGTGATATTTGGATATCTTATAAGAAAAAAAGTGCGGGTTTTTTTTAATTGCACCTTTTTTGGGTCTATAAGATAACAAAATATTACTAATTTCATGTAGGCTCTAATGATTAAATGAAAAATAAAAAAATATTGGAGAGCTTGGGACATTACAAAGAACATTAATTAGAAGAAAGAAGGTACATTAAAGGGCCAAACCCGCTAATTTGGTCTGATAGGTTGACCGGATATTCCATGCCGGGGGGGAAAAAAAAAGAAAAAAGAAAAACTGAAGAATACAAAGGAGATTGAGGAAGATGAAGAAGAAGAAAAATTTAAAAAAAGAAATTGACTAGCATTCTTTTTTTTCCCCAACAAAATTGACTAACATTCTCCATTATTGTTTTTGTTAAATGCCATGCCTGATGGCCAACAATGTAACCATATTCCTCCATTGTCGAATGTTAAGACTTCATAAACTCTCTATTTCTATTTTCTAAGCCATAAATTGAGGATGGCTTACACTAACGGTTATGATTATTTCTCAAGAATGAACCGAAGGGCTATAATTGTTTTGTCTTTTACTAGAGGGAGTTCGCCATCCCTTATTCCCTTAACACTACAGTATGTCATTGTTAATTCATCCTTCATGCCTCACTTCCCAACACAAATTTCCACACCCCAATAGTTGTAAATTATATGTAATATAACTTATATTTGCACTTTTTAAATTTTATTTTAATTGTATTTTGTTTCAGGCAAAATATTTTTTTTTCTATTTTTCCTTTTAATTTTGTTTTTATCCAAACTTTGGTTTTTATCTTATAGATTTTGTTCTTATTTGAATATTTTTATGTGACATAATCTGTATAGAACTATGGATATATTAATTTATTTCAAGCCGGTCAGACCACGGTTTGACAAAAATCAAACTATTAGCCCATAAAATAGTAGTGCTTTGATCACTTCAATAATCGATCCCATGCATTTTTGATAGATTGATTGAATGTGAAGGATTCTTGATGTTGTTTGAGCAGAAAAATATGATGATGAGAGTGAAACCAATACTTGAAGAAAGCATCAACAAGATGTTCTGCACCAATCTTCCAACTTGTTTGAAAGTGGCAGATTTAGGGTGTTCTTCTGAAACAGGACAGAAAGTGTTTGATAAATGAAACGCCTGGCACTTTCCATGGCATCCTCTTCCCCTCCAATTCCATCCATTTCTTCCATTCCTCTTTCTCTCTTCGCTGGCTCTCTCAGGTCACACCATCATCCTTCATCTTCCAACTCAAATTTTTCTCTATTTTCTTTTCAATCTTGTATATATATATTAATAATGTTGGATTATTACATATATTGCTTGTTGGGGAACAGGTTCCAAATTTGTTGAGCGAGGAAGTAAAAATAGGAGATGATGATAAAGGGAATATATACGTAACAAGCATATATTAGTCCTCCACCATATGCTGAACAGTTTAAAGAAGATTTCACACTATTCTTAAGATCACGTTCCAAGGAATTGGTGCTTGGCGGTGGTATGCTCCTTCCATTTATTGGCAGATATGATACTTCTCAAAATATAATTGCAGTAGGACTCTTTCGTGTCATACTCAATGACATGGTCTTAGAGGTAAACTCAAATTATTAATTAGTTAAATTTAATCATAAACAATCATTGCCAAATAATCATGCGTTGACTTCTATATCCATCCCAAAAAAAACAAAACGTATGCCTAAATTGTAGTTCAGACATAGACATTGTATTTCTATATCAGTATGTGTTTAAGTGATGAACTACATTTGATAATTTCTTATTTGTTCATGATCAGTTGAATTAACTTTTGGTCGTTTTTGTTGTTTGAGAAGAATTGTGTGATATAACAACTTATACTAGGCACAGACGTATCATAATATAAATTAAATGAATGGTGCAGAATTTAATTGAAGAGGCAGACTTGGAGCATTTCAATGTGCCGCTTCATCATGCTAGGGCTGATGAAGTTAGAGAAATAACAAAGGAAGAAGGGTCTTATTAGGGTTGAATAACTATTTTAGTTAGAGTTTAGTTAGATGACAGCTGTACATTTATTTATCTTAGCTTGCTTTATAAAAGCACTGGTGTATTCCATTATTATTTTTTCAAGAAATAAGATTCAGTTTACATTCTCTTTCTCCTGCAATTCGTGTTAGGTCTTTCATTGTAGGAAGATTAGAGAGTATCAAAACAAGTTGGGACGGATCAAGCTTAAATGAAGAAGCAGGCTGTGAAAGTTTTAAGGATGACAATGAGAGAGGGGAGTCTGTAGCCAAAACCTACAGAGCTGTGTTTGAGCCTCTTTGGAAGGCACATTTTGGAGAAGGAATCATTGATGAAATCTTCCTGAGGTTTCAAAAGAAGGCTATCCAATTTCTGCCCAAGTTGCTATATCCTACTTTGGTCATATCTCTAAGTAAGTTGCTTGAGTGAGAGCCATTGGCTCAGTTATATTATATGTCTATGTATAAATTAGCACTACTACAAAATAATAGATAAGTTTGGGCTTCCATACTCGTCTGTTATGAGGAACAGATAAGTCTGTTTCCTTTTAATAGACAAGTTTAAAGGTTTATATTTTTTTGTTTTTCAAAACAGACAAAAATAAGTATAAAAGTGATCTTATTTGTAATATTAGTGTGATTGATCTCGTTTTTCTCTATGTATAAGTATGGTCATGTGGTTGAGTTGTTTTCACTGTAGTGCTCTCAGACTTGTCCAATAATAGTCAGTAATATTATCTAGAAACATGTTCTATTAAGCTCAATTCATAATTGATCCTATATATATATATATATATATATATATATTTATATAACCATCTTAAATAGCGATAAAATCCACTAAGATATATAAATTATCCTCATTATTTTATACTCTCATTACGCCTACAAATACTTTTAAAAGATATTTCTTAGTTTCTTTCGTATATTTCTGTATGACGCGAAATTTGAGGAACCTGTGTGCTGGTGCAGCTAGCTAGCTTGGTGATTTCTGACTGACCCCTAAGGCTTATATAATTAACATGTAACGATTCATGTGATTCTATTGTTTAAACTCTTAGTTGTACAGTTGGGCCAAGCCCAAATACTCTAATATCCAAACACTTTGATTATTGCATATATTGCAAATGTTAGGGAACAGGTTCCAAATTTGTTGAGAGCAAGCAAAAATAGCAGGGAATATTTATGCAACGAGCATTATATTAGTCCTTCATCATATGCTAAACAATCTAAAGAAGATTTTTCACACTATTCTTAAGATCACCTTCCAAAGAATGCATGTGAATATATAAAATCTGGACGATATTTTTCTCTGCGAAAATGACATCCCACAAAAGAGGGTACCCTGGGATGGGGCAAACACGGACCACAATATATACAACATGTTTCTTGTATGGTTCTGTTCCATTCTGCTTTAATTTGTTTGCTTTCATTAGTGGCGATCCATCGTTGTCTGATATAAAGTGGTCTGTCCTTCACAGATCTTCACGTGCTTAGCTAGTCGGCCAATTTAATTCCATCTCGTCATCTTATTTCAGGGAAATCAATTCAACGATCAATCATTGTGTGGTAAAGCTTTCATTCAATATTTCCTTTCCCTGATGTCCTCAAGTATATGTGTCACTCACATATATGTTGCGCGTGGGCATAGCAAATCTACTTGATTATTTGTTTTTTGGGCAAACATGGGACAAGCTCAAAGAACTACCTATTTGTTATTTTTCTCTAATAGTGTTTCGATCGGGATGCGCCGTTTAGTTTAGTTTAATTTAATGAATTAATCTTCATCGTTTTCAACGGCTTAGATTTTGTCTTTACTTAATTATATGGCACATTTCTTTTGGAAGAAGCAGAGGTTCATAATGTTCGAAAAACCTGCAAAAATAATAACGAAAAGATATTTGACTTTTGCCTTCTTAAGAGTTATTTTACCATGCAAGGTTAGAATAATAAAAGGTGGCACTCTCTAAAATTAAACAAACCCTTTGTACAATAAAACAGAGTGGCAGAATAGCAGGAAAAAAAAATAAATAGTGAATTCAACAATAAGCAAATGAGAAGGGATGGGAGAATAACCTGAAAGTTCAAGGCCTGGCGTGATCTGGAGTTCTGAGCCTCAAGTTCCTTTTTATATTATAAGCCATGGTTCATGGATGCTTGTTTGAATAAGAAAATAATTAATGAAGTAATGAGATTGCCAAGTAGAAAGTAGGAGACGTATCAAAATTGGCTTTTTAAAGTGACGAGATTGAGTATACGTCAAGAAGTGTAGGACTTTTAGTTCCTTTTGACACAGTCACATATAATAATTACAACACATAATTCATAATATAACAATAGGGTTTCCGACAGAGGGGGATTTGAAATTGAGGTAATTACAAAGTCATCATCAATGGCGGACATGGCGGTGCCTGTAGAGGAAATGCTTCATATGAATGGAGGAGATGGAGAAACAAGCTACGCCAACAACTCTTCAATAGCGGTACGCTCTCTTTATATACATTCAAGCATATTAACTTTTTCAAATGTTTTCCATTGTTTTTGTTAAAGAGACTCCCTCTGGTTTCTATTTTCTGCATCCATAAACTAATGCCTGCTAAAAGGCGTCAAATTAAGGATGGCTCTTACATTTCTCAAGAAGGAATCGAAAGGCTATAACCATTAGAATCAGAGATTTCATGTGCGTTTTAAGGTAATGGGGGCAAAGGAGGAACAGCCTCAAAAGACACCAAATTTCCTCATCCATATATGATCCGCCTTTCAATTATTAAGTGTCCATCTCCGTACCAATTTCGAAGCCTCGTTTACATATTTTATTAGTTGGCGCTAAGAAAGTATATTATTTTAATTCATGTATTTTCATACATCATTTGTAAATTATACCCCCCGTCCCATTTTATAAGTAACAACCACTATCTTCCTCTTATCCCTAAATATAAGTAACATTTGCAAATTGTGTTAAATTTTGCAGCGATTTCTCTATTTTATTCTCACTAATTTCTTATTTTAATACTCAATATACTCCTCCGGTCCTTATTATAAGACCCAATTTGACTTTTTATTTGGTCCTAATTATAAGACCCAATCCATTTTGTCTCTTATATTTATGCATTTTTTTCCACGATAATCTTTCTAATAATGATAGTTTTAGCCAATATACTTAATTAGCAAGGATATTTTAGGAATGACAACACTTATTTATTATAAATAACCAACTTAACTTACTTCCTTAATCTCCTCAAATAAGTCAATTGGGTCTTATAATTAGGACCGGAGGAGTATTTATTATCTCATTTCCTAAACCATCATCTCTCCATCACATATTCTCTCTCTTCTATAATTCTTTTTATTATACTCTTCCGGTCCTTAATATAAGACTCATTTAACAAATTTGATTAGATTAAGGAAGTTAGATAAGTTAGTTAATTATAAGAAAAGTGACACATTTTTCCTAAAACACCATAATCATCTTTCTTAATACCCCCTCTCCCTCTTTTACTTGATTATATTTGGGGGAATATCCATAGGGGTAATTTAGAAAAAATTGATAAATATGAGAAATGTGTCTTCTATTTATGAACAAAACCAACTCAAGAATTGGGTCCTATATTAAGGACAGGAGGAGTAATATTTTTCTTATTCTCTACCTTATACTTTCTCCACCCATAAATAAGGGCATTTTAGTAAAAGAACTTCTAATTTTTATACATTTATTGTCTTTAACTAATTTTAACTAACATTTTGATCTACGTGATAAGCTCCAATGTTGCTTATAAAAAGGGATGAAGGGAGTAGTAATTTCATTTATGTTTTAAATTTTTAAATTTTAATTTAACTGTATTTTATTTCAGGGAAAATATTTTTTTGCTAGTTTTATTATTATTTAAAATTTATTTTTTATATTACATGTTTTATTCTTATTCAAAGATTTTTGTGTGAAATAATCTGTACAGAATTAAGGATATATTAATTTACTTCAAGCCGGTCTGACCACAATTTGACAAAAAAGTTAGACCATTAACTCTTAAAGTTAGCCGTGGGCCTGCCCCTGGAGCAAGTGCTTCGTATGAATGGAGGTGTTGGACAAACAAGCTACGCCAACAACTCTTCAATGCCCGTGCGCTACGTTCTATTCTATTCAAACATATTTATCTGGGCTTGTTTGCGCCAGTTTATTTTAAGTACGTAAAAGTGCTTCTATATAAGTTAAGAAAAAATATCTTCACATACTTGTCTTGTGTTTATATTAGTTGGCATCAGACAATTGTACATTTTTTTTCTAATTGAAATTATGTATTTTCATATATCATTAAGTAGTTCTTATTTTTAAAAATAATGGTCAATTACCTGTTATTTCAGTTATATTTTAACTTTTTAAATTTAATTTTAATTGTACTTGAGCAGAAAAAAGTGATGATGAGAGTAAAACCAATACTTGAAGAAACCATCAACAAGATGTTCTGCTTCAATCTTCCAACTTGTATGAAAGTGGCAGATTTAGGGTGTTCCTCTGGACCAAATACACTTTTGGCAATATCTAACATTGTCGACATTGTGAATGAAACAAGTCTGAGATTGAAGGTTGAGCCACCCACATTCCAGTTTTTCCTCAACGATCTGTTTGGGAATGATTTCAATGCAATCTTCAAGTCAATTCCAGAGTTCTACCACACTCGGAAACCAGACACAACGTGTTTCATAAATGCAACTCCTGGCACATTCTATGGCATCCTCTTTCCCTCCAATTCCATCCACTTCTTCCATTCCTCTTTCTCTCTCCACTGGCTCTCTCAGGTCATTATCATCATCATCTACCTTCATCATCTTCGAACTCAAATTCTCTATTTTCTTTTATATATATTCGTAACACGGGATTCCATATATTATTGCATGTTTGGGTACAGGTTCCAGATTTGTTGAGCGCGGAAGCAAAAATAGCAGATGTTGATAAGGGGAATATTTATGTAACAAGCATTAGTCCTCCATCATGCGCTAAACAATTTAAAGAAGATTTCACACTATTCTTAAGATCACGTTCCCAGGAATTGGTGCCCGGCGGTGGTATGCTCCTCACCTTCATTGGTAGATATGATTCTTCTCAAAACATATCTCCTCCAGGACTCTTTCGTATCATACTCAATGACATGGTCTTAGAGGTAAACTCAAATTATTAAATATAATTAGTTAAATTTAATCATTACCAGATCATCATATGTATTTTGAACTATATTTGACCAATTTCTTATTTGCTCATGATCAGATTATTCACCGTATAGTCTTTTTTATTTTTATTTTTGAAGAAATGTGTCATAACAATTTATCCTAGGCATAGACGTATCATGATAGTAAATGGATGGTGCAGAATTTGATTGAAGAGGCGGACTTGGTGCATTTCAATATGCCGATTTATTTTGCTAGAGCTGATGAAGTCAGAGGAATTATAAAGGAAGAAGGGTCTTTCCTTGTAGAAAGATTAGAATGTATCAAAACAAGTTGGGACGGATCAAGCCTAGATGAAGCAGGCTGTGAAAGTTTTAAGGATGAAAATGAGAGAGGGGAGTTTGCAGCCAAAATCTTAAGAGCTGTGTATGAGCCTCTTTTGAAGGCGCATTTTGGAGCAGGAATCATGGATGAACTCTTCTTTAGGTTTCAGAAGAAGACTGTCCAATTGCTGCCCAAATTGGTGTATCCAACTTTGGTCATATCCCTTACTAAAATTGCTTGAGAGCCATTGGCATAGTTATTATAAAATAGCAGAACGATGAAAGAAACTATAGCCCAGTACTTTTCTTTCATATGGATGCTTGGAAGATTCTTCCATTCATTATTATTTGTGAGTTTGAATGAACTGTATGTGTGTTTCTTGGTTGGTTGATCGTCTTGTTCTCTATGTACAAGTATGGTCGTATCGGTGAGTTGTTCTCACTGTAGTACTCAGACTCGTCCAATGATAGTTAGTATTATCTGGGTGTACATTCTATTAAGCTCAATTCATAACTGACCTATATATAACCATCTTAGTGATAAAATCCACTAACATATCAATTATCATCGTTGAAGGGAAATTTTGAAAAGTTTTAAAAAAATTTCAATATTTAAAAGTAGGGCTGTGTAAAAAACTTGAAATCCAGTCTGGTCCGTCTTGACCCGGTCCGGTCCGGTCCAACCCGATGACAAAAAAAAAAAACAACCTGGTGAGAGAACTAGACTGACCAGACTAGACCAAGTCATCGGGCCAGACCGGGTTTCGGGATACCTTTTGAGACCAAATAGTCTGGTTTGGTCTGGCCCAATATCTACACATTTATTTTTAATTTTATATTCCCTCATAGCTCCCTCTCTCTCCATTCGCACCCCCTTCTCTCCTCGTCATTTCCCCATTTTCCATTTGCCTCCTCCTCTGCTCTACAACTTTGCAAATGGAAGGTTTTATGAAAGCCATGGCACAAGTTCATATATCCTCATTTGCAACCCATCAACTGTGGCTCATTAGCCTTGCGTCAGATCCCCACTACGGAGCCACCGTCTTCAACCAATGATGAACTAGTGCTGGGTCTTCTCAAGGAGTTGCTGGTTTTGCTTCGCATACTCAGCTTCTTCTTCTTCTTCTTGTCTTTTTCCTCAATCGATTTTTGTAGATCTAACTTATGTTAGATACTGTGTTCTTATTTTTTTTCAGTTTTTTCAATGGCAAAAGATCTTTGATTTTTTTCTAGATCTAGTTTATTTAGTTTCGTGTTATCTAGTTAATTAGTTTGATGATTCATCTCCATCTGCTCCTCATGCTTCTCTCCCACATGGGTGAAGTCTCCACTGCTCTCTACCTTGCCATTCGTCCTCTGTGCGTTGATTCTATCTGTGTTGGTTCTTTGTTTTCTTCACCCACAGATTTTTTTTCCTATTTCCATTAATTTTTTTTTACTTTTACATTTTGAACGTGTGTTGAATCTTTGGCTGTTGTTTTTTCTTCCCCGGATCAATTCTATTTGCTTGGAAGAGGAAAAAAAAATTGATACCATTGACTAGTCCTCCAGACCAAGTCTGGTTCAACCCGACTTCGGGTTAGTACTGGACCAGACCAGACTACGGGCTGCTTTGTGCAGCCCGAGATCTTCACCAGACTAGACCTCGGGTTGATGCTCAACCCGGTCTGATCTGGTTTATGCACAGCCCTATTTAAAAGACTTTAAACTAATTTCCTTTATCTAGTGAAAATAATTAAAAAGATCTTTAAAAAAATGAAGGCATCATTTGGATCTATTTATTAAGCACATTTTACATAAGTTAAGAGAAAACTTTCTTCATATGCTTGCCCTGTATTTTGTAAATCATGATTAACAAATTGCTTATAGTAAGTTATAAGCCATTCCACACAAGCCTGAAGGAAACAACAATGTTTAGTGATACTTTCGGTCTTTAATATAATATTTAGTTGACTAATTTGAAAAAATTAAAAAAATTAATATGCCTCTCATTAAATTATATGTTAATTGATAGGCCAGACAAATTAGTTTGAAAAAAAAACGATAAATATAATATTTTAAAGTAATTTATTCAATTTTATTAATCTTTTCAAATTATTTAACTAGATATATATATTAAGAACCGGAGGTAGTATAAGAAATTGTTTATTATTTGAAATTGAAAAATATCATAAAAAGAGGTGACATTGAAAATTTAATCTTGAAATTAGAATTTTTCCGACCATAATGTCCTCTGATCCCTTGGAGTTAGAGTGTATGAGTGGGTGTACCAAAATGAACAAATCCCACATTGTTAGAAGAGTGAAAATTTGTACTCTTAGAGTTAGTAAATGGGTTCACAGGCGTATGACAACAAGCCAATTGAGTTAACTGAGTCTTATATTAAAAATCAGAGTAGATGTAGTACTACTTTCGATCCTAATTATAAGAGTTAGTTGACTAATTTGAGAAGATTAAGGAAAGAAGTTAAGTTAGTTATTTGTAATAAATGGGTGTTGTCTTTCCTAAAATATTTTTTCTAATCAAATGTATTGGGTAGAACTATCATTATTAGAAGGATTATCTTGAAAAAAAAAGCATAAATATGAGAAATAAAGTATATTGAGATCTTATATTTAGGATCAAAATAAAAGTTAAATAAGGTCTTATATTAAGGACAAGTAGTATTAGACAAGGCTATTATATGTAGGGTTATGCTTTATAATAAAATATCTAGAGTGCTTGCGTGGCACGATTAAGTCCTTTGCCTGACTTCCAGCGTGCTTGCGTAGCGCCATTAAGTCCTTTACCAACCTTCTAGAATTTTTGCGCAGATAATTGCATACGTGTAGATTTCCAAACCAGGTGTTATCATTCTACAAAATCCATCCACGTTAGCTAAATATAGATGTCACCTTTCCTTGATGTAATTGGTGATCAATGATGGCCATGGGGGTGCCTGTGGAGCAAGTACTTCATATGAATGGGGGTGTTGGAGAACGAAGCTACGCCAACAACTCTTCAGTATCGGTATGCTATTGCTTGCTCTCTCTTGTACTCAACCATATTAACTTGATCGAATCATATGTATATTATTAATATTTGGTGAGTTATGCCTTTAATCTTTATCCTTATCATTTATTTTTTATGAATGATTGAATCCTTTGGTATATTGAAAGTTCAACTACACCGGGCAAATTTGATTCTATCCATATTCTGGTGCTCGATTAACCTAATTTTAACCTGGTGCAACTTAGTTAATCTATGTGCTTGAGGCCTCTAATGTGTCTTTCTCTAAAATTTTCTAATGCTCTTTATAATATCTCAATTTCTCAAATGCTTTTTATTTTTTCTATTGATGATTATGTTCTACATGAAATTAGTGATATTTGGATATCTTATAAGCCCAAAAAAAAAAGTACGATTTTTTTTTGAATTGTACCCTTTTTTTGTCTATAAGATAACAGAATATTACTAATTTTATGTAGGCTCTACTGATTAAATGAAAAATAAAAAAATAATTGAGAAGTTGGGACATGACAAAGAACATTAGAAGAAAGAAAATACTATCTCCGATCCTAATTATAAGTCATTATTTATAATTTACAAACGATGTCTTATAAATAGGAGGATAAGTAGTACATAAAAAGGCCAAACTCACTAATTTGGTCTGATAGGTTGACCAAATATTTCATGTCAAGAAAAAAAAGAAAGGAAAAACTAAAGAATACAAAGAAGATTGAGAAAGATGAAGAAGAAAAGAAAAAAAAAGAATTGACTAACATTTTTTTCCCAACAAAATTGACTAACATTCTTCATTATTCTCCGACCATTGTCGAATGTTAAGACTTCAGAAACTCTCTGTTTCTATCTTCTAGAGCCATAAGTTAAGGATGGCTTATACCAACGGTTATGATTATTTCTCAAGAATGAACCGAAGGGCTGTAATTGTTTTGTCTTTTACTAGAGAGTTCGCCATCCCATATTGCCTTGATACTACAGTACGGATGATTATTAATTCATCCTTCATGCCTCACTTCCCAACCCAAATTTCCACACCCCAATAGTTGTAAATTATATGTAATATAACTTATATTTAGTTGTAAATTATATGTAATATAACTTAGATTTGAACTTTTTAAATTTTATTTTAATTGTATTTTGTCTCAGGGAAATTTTTTTTTACTATTTTTCCTTTTAATTTTATTATTATCCAAACTTTGGTTTTTATATTACAGATTTTGTTCTTATTTGAATATTTTTATGTGAGATAAACTTTATAGAACTATATGGATATATTAATTTATTTCAAGCCGGTCTGACGACGGTTTGACAAAAATCAAACTATTAGCCCATAAAATAGTAGTGCTTTGATCACTCCAATAATCGATCCCATGCGTTTTTAATAGATTGATTGAACGTGAAAGATTCTTGATGCTGTTTGAGCAGAAAAATGTGATGATGAGAGTGAAACCTCTACTTGAAGAAAGCATCAACAAGATGTTCTGCACCAATCTTCCAACTTGTTTGAAAGTGGCAGATTTAGGGTGTTCTTCTGGACCAAATGCCCTTTTGGTGGCATCTAACATCATTGACATTGTGAATGAAACAAGTCTCAGATTGAAGGTTGAGCCGCCCACATTCCAGTTTTTCCTGAACGATCTATTTGTAAATGATTTCAATGCAATCTTCAAGTCACTCCCAGAGTTCTACCACACTCTGAAACAGGACAGAAAGTGTTTGATCAACGCAACGCCTGGCACTTTCTATGGCATCCTCTTCCCCTCCAATTCCATCCATTTCTTCCATTCCTCTTTCTCTCTCCATTGGCTCTCTCAGGTCATAATCATCATCTACCTTCGTCTTCCAACTCAAATTCTCTATTTTCTTTTCAATCACGCACACATATAAGTAACCTAACGCTGGCTTTCATATATTGCATTCTGCCGGGGAACAGGTTCCAAATTTGTTGGGTGAGGAAGGAAAAATAGCAGATGTTGATAAAGGAAATATATACGTGACAAGCATTAGTCCTCCATCAAATGCTAAACAGTTTAAAGAAGATTTCACACTTTTCTTAAGATCACGTTCTAAGGAATTGGTGCCTGGCGGTGGTATGTTTCTTACATTCATTGGCAGATGTGATACTTCGGAAAACATATCTGTTCCAGGACTCTTTCGTATCATACTCAATGACATGATCTTAGAGGTAAGCTCAAATTATTAAACATAATTAGTTAAATGTAATCATAAACAATCATTACCAAATCATCACATGTTGACTTATAGACGTATGAAGGTAATAAATGAATATTGCTGCAGAATTTGATTGAGGAAGCGAACTTGGAGCATTTCAATGTGCCAGTTTATCATGCTAGCGCTGATGAAGTAAAGAAAATAATAAAGGAAGAAGGTTCTTTCAGTGTTGAAAGATTCGAGTGCATCAAAATAAGTTGGGATGGATCAAGCCTAGATGATGAAGCAGCCTCCTGTGAAAGTGTAAAGAATGAGAACGAGAGAGGGGAGATTGTAGCCAAGAACATAAGAGCTGTGTTTGAGCCTCTTTTGAAGGCACTTTTTGGAGAAGGAATCATTGATGAAATCTTCCTGAGGTTTCAGAAGAAGGCTGTCCAGTTTCTGCACCAATTGGTGTATCCTACTCTCGTCATATCTCTTTCTAAAATTGCTTGAGTATTTTTAAACCCCCTTGTATGGTGTTCGGCACAAGGACAAGGACATATATAATAAAGTCCTGGCAAATCTCTCAAGAAATATTGCATTATTGTTATCTCGTTATTTTTTATGTGTCTGTGTGTCGTTCATGTTCAAACCAAGATATATAACGCTAATCTTCACTGTACTTTTGCTCTCAGAGTTGTTCATTTATGTTCAGTAATCAGTACTACCTATATATATATACACACACATATATATGTTCTATATATTGAGTTCAATTCACAATTGACCTATATATATATATATATATATATCACCATCTCAGCAATAAAATCCACTAAGCTATCAATTATTTCTTATATGCTCTCTACACCTGAAAACACTTAGAGATATTTCTTATTTTCGTATTAGTATCGAGCGAAATCTCATGAACATATGTGCAGCTAGTTATACTGATTGCTGCAGATTGATCAATGCGGCTTATAATTAAATTAACATAAGCGGATAATGATTGATGATTCTAATGTTTAATAGATTCCACAATTATCAACAAGCAGTTGGTTGAAATGATAAGCGGCCTCACTTCTATAAGGAGGAGTTGAATATCTGAAAACGCATCTATTGGAAAGACTTTAACCTTTAACCTTAACGCTCTCGGCTTAACAGGAATTAGTTCTAAATCCAAGATAACCTGAGAATACTTTGTGTTACACCAAAAAATAAATTCCATGACTCCTAGTAATGATGTTGACAGAAAAAAGAACCGAATTTATGGACATAATGAAACTAGGATTGTGGCTTAACTTAAGGATACAAGGTAAGCCACATTAATACTTAGCGATAAACATCACATAAGGGAGGAGGAGAAGATAATACAATTTCAGTCACAAGCAAGAAGAGAAGCACTACTGAACACTAAATGTAGATAATTATTCCGTAAATATTTAAATTTTAGTTCGTCATATTATAAGAGAATTTTTTTTTTGCTAGACCCAACTTTATTGATAATATAACCCACTAATCTCTCGCCTTCATATTTCTTGGACCTCTTTCTCAGCCCATTTTTCCCAACTCAACAAACAGAGCAACTATCATTGCAACATCCTCCTGGTCCATCCAAGTACCATTACAAATTAGAAATTTGAACCTGTATCCACATATTATTTGCGGAGGAGGGCCCACCATATTGCAGTCATATACAGCTTTATAAATCAAGCCCAACACTCAACATATTTGTCGACTTACAATTTGAAATTTGAATATAATTAATAACTTTATTGTAATGAAAATAATAATAATAACTTTAAATAGTATTGATTGATATAAATTATTGATTCCAGATATGTCGGCGTTGACGTGAGCCTTCCATCCAGCTCTATAGAAGCAGCTGAAAGCTCTGATGAAGGATGCCCAGCAAATTGATGCTTTTTGCAAAATTATTCTAAGCCATTCAAATAATGTCATTTTCTCACTTGATAACTACGTAACTGTAGATATATTTTTTTCCAGATGTCTGAACGATCAGAATATCAATTTAGATAATAAAATATATAAAAAATTCAACTTTAGGTGAGAAATTTTAAATTTAGTCCCACTAGGAATTTCAGGCCGGCCCTTTAAATAAGGGGGGAAAAAATATTGCAAGAGTCTACGATTAATACATCCCCAGAATATATAACTTGAAGCACCTCCATATGCAAAACAACCATCGTTTTTCTCTTTCTAAAAAAAAATGTTCTCTCTTCTAGTCTTTTTCTTATTTTCACCTTCAACTTTAACAGATTGACCGCGTATCGACTTTGACCTTGTTCATCGTGATTCACCATTTTCACCATTCTACGACTCTTCAAGCACCTTATTAGAGCTTGCTCAGAACGTTAGGTTACGATCCCAAATTCGATGAACAAGACGTCGTCGACTCTTCCAAATTAATCTACTCGCACCAGTTGTTGAATAAGGTGAAGGCGAGTACCTCATGAGAATCTACATGGCTTCTCCACCATTAGAGACAAGGGCTATCGCGGACACAGGAAGCGAGCTTATATGGCTCCAATGCTCACCATGCAACAAAACGTGTAACCCTCAAAACTCACCCATCTTCAATCCCGACAACTCTTCTACGTATTAGATCCTTTCGCGTAACCTTGTACATTGTTGGGTCGATATAGTTGTGGGAATTCAACATAGTGCTTGCACGGATATGGATTTGCAGATGGCTCAACTGCTTTTGGAGAATTGGCGAGAGATTTCTTTAGCTTTAGTAGAAAACATGCTTCGTTTAATAACTCTTCATTTTTTAGTGAAAAAAGTATATTATTGGAAATATTTACAAGTGGGAAATGTTACATCAAAAGTTCGAGCTCTTTAGAGAAAGTTACAAAGCCAAATGTTTTCGAAAATCGGTAGCCTGCATGATATGCTGGGAAAGTGACAGCACTTCGTTAACCAATCTATGCGGCTGTATATCTTCCTTAGCAAATTGCCTTCTATTGCTCGCAGACCATAATTTCCAGCATAAGGTTCCAAACATGATGCACCAAGTGGAATTGGAGCTGTTGGGTTTGAGGTTTATCTCTAGCCAATCGTCAAAGGCAACTGCCATGAAGTGTGTGGCTCGGTTGCTTGGGATAATAAGATTCCAGCAGGAGCTGGCCGACTTGCATTTCCTGAGCACATGGTCAAGGTCTTTAGTTTCATTTCCACAGCCCCCCCCATTTGTCAATATGGGTCATATGTCTCCGTGTGCGCTCCGCATTGGTTAGGAGTTTGTTGCTAAGCACAAGCCAAAAAAAAGAGCGTACCCTTTGTGGTCCTAGCTAGCCATTTCCACGCCAACTCCCATCTGGTGGATTCTTCATTCCATTCTGGTTCCATAATAGAATCATAGGCTGACTTTAGAGTGAAATCTTCTTCATGTTCTAGGCACCAGTACCTGTGGTCCTCTTCATCATGTCTGCTTGGGGACGTAAGTTCCGCTACTTGCTTCAGTACCGATTGAGGTAGTAGCGCAGAAAATGCTTCCCATTTCCAGGTGTTTTCATCAGCGGCAAACTCAACGAGCCTTTTCTCCAAGTCCGATTCTTCTAATGGGGCAAAGGTGAGATTGCGGAGTGGTCCAAGGTCCCCCACCCAGTTATCAGACCAAAAACGTATTTCTTTACCACTATTGGTTTTCCATTTAATCCCCAATTGCCTGTCTTCCAAAATCACTGCTAGGCTGCGCCATAGGTGGGAGGTATTCCTTGTTCTCATTGATTGGCAATTGTCACTACTCCAACCATATTTGCTTCTAAGAATATTGACGCAGAATAAATCAGGTCGATTTATCAGCACATAGGCAGCCTTCATTAGGAATGCTGAATTCTGTCCCACGAGACTTCTAAGGGCGCATCCTCCCCTGTTCTTGGGTTGGCACATTTGGTTCCATTTTATGAGGTGGATACTTTTGTGTTGTTCACTGGACCCCCAGATAAAACTTCTTAATAAGCAATTGTAGTTTGGTGGTCGTGGTACCTGGGAGTCTTGTTGTTTGCATTGCGTAGTATGGTATAGTAGAGAGAATATAGTAGAGAGAATAGACTGTGCCAGTGTGATCCGACTTGCTAAGGATAAAGTACGAGCTTTCCATCCTGCGAGTTTTCACTGCACCTTCTCCTCTCTGTATTTGTAAGTATCCTTCGTGATCCGTTAGTGGAGGAGTGGGACTCCGAGGTAATGCCCTAGGTTACTTGTTTGTTGGAAGTCCAGCTGTCTGCTGATTGCATATACATTTTGATGATGCACGTTTTAAGAAAAGAATATTCTCGTCTTATCCTTACTGATTTTGTGGCCCGAATGTATACAGAAGTCCTCCAGCACATGTTGCAACAGTTTGACTTAGGCTGGTTTTATGGAGCAGAACAGTATTAAATCGTCCATGAAAAATAAGTGGGAGAGTGCTGGAGCGCCCCTCCCCATGTGGCTTGGCTACCATTTTCCTCTTTTGATCTCTGTGTTGATGGTTTGAGAAAGTCTTTCCACGCACAGGACAAAAATATAAGGTGATAAGGGGTCACCCTGCCTGATTCCACAGTACTTGCATGGATGAAGGGGTAATGCACTTCATGATAAGTGCAATGAGCTGAGAGGGAAAGTTGGCAACTTTGAGTGTATCATCAATGAAATCCCATTGCAGCCTATCAAAAGCCTTTTTTAGATCAACTTTGACAGCCATCCACCCTAATTTTCCTGTCTTTCTACGCATTGAGTGTATTGCCTCTTGAGCAATAATTATATTATCAGTGATTAGCCTTCCTTTGATGAAGCTCGATTGGAAGGGCAGCACAATACTGGGCATTACTAATTTAATAACTCTTCATTAGTTTTTGGATGTGGACATAACAGTAGTAGGATATTCTCAAGCAAAGGTTCAGGACTTGTGGGGCTTGGAGCTTGACCTTTCTATTTAGTTTCACAGTTGGGTTCTAAGATTGGTCACAAATTCTCATGTTGTTTGGTTCCTTACTTCTCAAACGCCACCAGTAAACTGAAACTGGATGAAGAAGCCAATATATCTGGATCGATATCACATGAGGTTGTGTCCACTCCATTCATAACTGGCGGTGGAAATTACTTTCTCACTCTTGAAGGTACTAATTAGGTTAACACTAACGGTAAAATTATTTATGAATTATCACTTTTATTAGACTGTTTCCTGTAAGAAATCGAATGAACACCACATCTTAACTCCCAACACCTAATCGTAAGGTTTAAGATTATTATGGTTTCCTTCTACTTTATTTATATATTTCTTATGAAGCTCAATTCTATCTGGTGTGTTATTACCTCCCACACCAAGTCAAATCTGCTCACACTTGACATCTTGAATTTATTTTCTTTGAGCTAAGATTGTGTCTTAAGCTTTATATGTCCTGTCAAGATCTGCTTATAAATTATATATGCTTTTTTTCTTCGTCTTTAAGGTGTCACAATTGGAAACAAGAAAATGGAGACAGGTCCCAAAGGGAGGGGAACACACTTAGTGATTTAGGGGTGACTTGGTTTTTAATGGAACCAGGTTTTTACATGAAGGTTGAGGCATTGATAAGGGATTCAATTGGGGTTAAAGAAGTTAAAAACGCTTGTGATTTATTCAATTTGTGCTACTCAATGATCATGAACAAATTTTCAGATTTGGTAGTTCATTTCAAGGGTGTTGAAGTGTACTTGAA